AAAAAAAAAAAAAAAAATTTAAAAATAAAAGCAGAACCCAGTTCAAGACTGCTAATTTAAATTTCAGAGTTGTATAAACAGATGAAACTGTCTTGGTTATCCCCTGCTCAACAGAATGCTGAAGGACAAACATGCCACGTCCACTCTGCCATCAGCAGGGGACCCCTTTCCATCTTTCTTTCTTCACTCCGTCACGCTGGGCAGAGTGCTGTGGCATCATCATAGCTCACAGCTACCTCAAACTCTTATGCTCAAACGATCCTCCTGCATCAACCTCCACAGTAGCTGGGACTACAGGTTCCTGCCACCATGTAGCTAGTTTTTCTATTTCTAGTGGAGACAGGGTCTTGCTCTCTTGCTCAGGCTGGTCTGGAACTCCTGAGCTCAGGCCATCCACCCATCTCAGCCTCCCAAAGCTCTCCACTTCACTTTAAATGTTGCTCTTTTCCTTTACTTCCATGCTTCTCCTTTTTCTCCTACACTTTTCATTTCCCATCTTTTCTCTCTTTTTAGCCTAACTGTCCATAAAATAAACAAATAAAATAGTAAAATAAGATAAAATAATAAAAGTATTATTTGGTGACTTTTAGAATGAAATATTGTGCTTTCTGCTTCTAATGAGAGGGTATCACTTTTTTTCTTAAAAATGTTTTGAGAGTTCTTGACTTCTACATACTTGCTAATTAATTTTTCCTTTCTATCTTGGTCTCAGAAAAGAGGGAAGCTTGCCATTTGCAGGCCTTCTCTGGAACATGTGTACCCCAGAGCCAAGCTTTCAGAGTCTGCATGTGCTTGTGGCTTGCTGGCTGCTTCATCACTTCCCATTTTCCAATTCTGAATACACACTAGAGACAGCAAAACGGGAAAACGCATCCTCCTGGTAGCCATTTACACATAACTCAGTCTATGGCTTAGGCTAAAGTCAAAATTGGGACCACGAACTGCAATGAAGAATGCAGAGAGAGAAACTGTGTTTTCTTCACTCAGCATAAAGCATAAAATTATCATACCAAGTAAAATCAGGTCCAACCTTCAATTACATTATAATTCCCAATTCAGCAAAAATACTCCATTCTATTGTAAATAAATGAAGTTACAAAAGCCTACAATGGGATTCTATTGAAATTTTTCTTGAAGTGTACTTCTGGTCATAGCCACAAATAAAAGTCCCTTATAGTATTTAGCAATGTGGTTTCGTAAAACGTCTGGTCTTGGGGTTTGATCAATTATCATTCAGTGATAACAGTAGTTTGTTGATGAACATTTGAATAAAAACAGCTTTATTTTGTCTACAGCTAAGATCAGCAGGAGAGGTCTCAGACGTTAGAATACGGTATCTTTGCGCTTTTGGTTCAAGGGATTAGAATCCTTGCAAGAGAATGCCTGAATTTCTACAACAAATGTCTATTGTTTTCTTATGGAATGTTATTGACAGATTCTTAAACATGCCTTAGATTCCTATAAAAATTTCTTGCAAGCAAACTGCTTTGAAACAATACAGTATTTGTTACATCACTGTAACAAAAACAGCCAGTTTGGGTAACCTTTAATCCCGGCGCTGATGTGAGTTATAATCGCATGTGCTTTAAAAATGTTTAACATATGGCTGGACGTTTTTGCGGCACTCTCCAACGTTTGCCCTTCCTCCTCATCCCCACCACAAAGCCCTGCTTTGACAAACAGTTACTAAAGTAGACATTTATATCATTCTAAGTCTGCTTGGTTTTTAGGGGAGCGCCATACCAGCCGAGCTTCTCAGGACACGACTTAAGAGCCATGAGGATCTGATAAAAATATACCTGGCAGGGGAAGGACTAGAAATTTTTTTTTTTTTTTTTTTTTTTT